CCCCCCTTTATGCTATACTACCCTGTGATTACCCACTCACTGCGTTTTAGGGATGTGAGGGTATCAGCTGAATTGTGAGTGGATCAAAACCAAGGCGGACCTTTGAAGGCAGGGACTGAAGAGGAGGAGAAGGCTGAGGAGGGGTCGGTGTCTGCCCTTGGGTTCTTAAGGGAGGTTCTCCACACAGGGAGCAAAAGATCCACACACAGGGGTTTAGGCAGTGCACTGGATTTCCCAGAAAGCTCCTGGTGGTAAGCTGGGAGGGGCTTTGGTTCCCAGGCCTGTCATCAATACTTTCTCGCTGAATGTCCCCCGTAGCGGCAGTCAGGGGTCCACCATCTTCTGTGGGTGAGGAGCGCTCCAGAGGTTGATATAGGGTTGGAACTAGAAACCTTTCCCAGCTCCTCGGCACCTGCTGGGCTGCTTCGCTGCCGGAAAGCGGAAGCCTCCTGGCTTTGTTGGACTTCCTGGGGAAGGGGGAGCTGGGCCAGGGATGACTCAGCACCCTGCACAGAATCAAACCCTGTGCGTGCGTGTGTGTATGTGTGTTTGTGTGTCAGGGGGCTGGGGTCTGTCCTGGCCTGGGGGCGGGGAGGGGGCATTAGGCCCTCGTGGAGTGTCAGCCCTATCTCTTTGAGAAGCCATATCTGCATCTGCGTCCAGGGCACAGCACAGATCTGACCGGGTGCCCACCCCTGCCAAGCCCCTAGATATGGGGTTAAGCTCTCAGCTTCTTTCTTGCATGTCTAAAATGGGGTCTCCCCATCTCTGGGGATGAGGGACGACAGAGAGTATATGGGCATACATGGAAAAGGGAGGTCCAGCCTGGGTGAAAGTTAGGGGCTTGGGTATTGTGGAGGGAGGGGCCTGAGGGCCTGGTGAGATGGGCCTTCCAGAGGTCCTCCAACTGCCAGGGGCCCTGGCTTACCCCTGGGCTGTTCTGATCCACACCCCACCTCCGCATTCGTCCCCCAAACCCCCACTCCCACACACTGCCCCAACCTCACTGGGGCCTTTGTCCCGGCCCTGAGGCCAGGTCTGTGGGCCTGTCTCCTGCACAGGGAGAGAAAGGGCCCCATTGTCCTGGCTGCCTGCGTGACACAGCAGCTCCCAAAGACTTCCAAAAATGCCCAGCCTGTCAGACACCCTGTGGGTGGGAGGGCTCTCCCTGGGGGCTGCAGTCAGTGCCTGGCGTGATGACTCAGGTGCCCTCTCTCCCATCCAGGCCGGGCGTCCTCCTTTCCCAGATTGTGGACCTTTCTGAGCTGTAACTTCTAGTCTGCTTGCTACAAAGCTGACTTCTCCCTCCTGGGAAGGAGGGGCTGAAAGGCTAAGGCAGAGCGTAAGGAAGGGCCTGGGAAGCAGAGGACAAAAGAAAAGAGGGAGAAGGAAGAAGGATGTGAGGAAATGCCCCCCACTGCAAGACTCTGGGCTCCAGCTAATTGTCTGAGGGGGTGGATCTTGTGGCCTCTGTGTTTATGCTCTGATGGTTTTCCCTTAGTTTTTAAATAGCTTATTAACAAAGGAAAGGCTGTTGACTCCTTTCACCTGGAGCATTTAAAGGAAGAAGCCCACAGCCTCCCTGTGCATGTTGGATGGACCCCGAATGGCTTCTAGGGACTCAGTGTCGTGGGCAAGGGATCTCTCCCCATGCCTCAGTTTCCCTATCAAGGTGAGCGGAAGTTCTCTCTGACATTTAACTTCCTGGCAAATGAGGTGAATAGGAAAGGAAGGACTCCAGGCTGGGAAGGGGCCAGGGAGGAGGAAGGTAGAGGAAAGGGTGTTGGTGAGTGTGAGTGCGGCTCAGCTGGACCAGGAGGGGCCAGCGCCAGCAGGGCATCTCCCACCCCCAAGGTCTCCCAGCCACCCCTCCTGGGACCCTGGGGCACCAGCTTGTCAGCAGCTGAGCCCACAGCTGCTGGGAGGAGGTTCCTCGACGGTGGCCCCCTGGCATCCGCCCCAGTTTATTTTTGGAGCCACAGCTGAGTCATGGGGGTGGGGAGAGTGGATGGGGCTTGGGGGCGAGTTTGTGACTGGATGAGGAGACCCTGGGACTTTGGGGCCTGGGGTTTGTCCCTGTGGGGCAAGAGCAATGGATGCTACAGCATGAGGATTGGCGTTAGGTTATAGGTGGGACATTCGCTCTGGAGACCCTGGAATAATGCAGCTTGGGGAAGGGGTGGGGGAGCAGGAGGCGGAGTCCACCGCTCCCTAAATGTTGGAGAAGAGCCAAGCCTGATCCGGGTGCTATGTTAGAAAGGGGAGAGGGGAAGGGGGCCCCAGGGCAGACGAGGGCTGAGGGGCGGGGCAGGCTCTTTGTGCTGTGAGAGACCGAACAGCACCGAGCTTTCCTCTGCTTCCTGTCACAGAGTCCAGGGCCCTCACCTGAGGCCATTCCGTCCCTCTTCCTGCCCTGAGCCAAGCACTCCCCTTCTGGTTCTTTTACTTGAGACTTGCCTCTGTCTGTCTAAGGTGGGCCTGCAGACAGAATTCCCGGGTCGTTTCTTTACCCACTGGTCCTACATTCCCAAGAATGTACTACCTTCCCACCTCCAGGGAGGTCCATTCTGCTGCAGGACGCATCTAGAGCTGAGCCTCCGATGAGGTGGGGGCACGGCCCAGGAGGGACCCAGGGGCCTGTCCCCACGCCCAGAGTCCTCTTGGGTTTGCTGGACTTGGAGGGGCTTGGTCTCCGTTCCCCACCCCCTCTCCATGGGCAGCCCCAGAGAGCACATTCCAACCCAAATTAAACCACATTCCTCCTGCCCTGCCTGACAAGGATGGCCACCTGACAGCAGCTGTGACACCACAGGGTCAAGCGGCAGCAGCTGGTTTCCCAGGGAGGGGCTGAGAAGAGGGGTGCTGAGGGACCAGGGCCTTGGGAAGCAATGAATGAACTCTTGAGTTCTTGATCTCCAGAGGCCAGAGCAAGAGGGGCAGACGCTGCAGGGGAGGGTCAGAGGGCAGACCCCAGAGTACCATAGCTGTGTGGAGCCTCAGGGAATGCCCCAGTCTAGCCAGTTTTGTACAGATGAGAAAACCAATGCCCCCAGTGTCACCTCCTGAGAAGACCCTGGGGAGACACCCCCCACCCCACCGCTGGACTGGGCTTCCAGAGCAGATGTGAAGGCTGAGGGGGCCCTTTAAAGGGCTGCACTCTGAGCTCCCTTGGCCAGAGCCCAAAGCCTAGGCCTTTGATTTCCTCTGAGACTCTGGCAGCAGCCAGCGGCAATGGGGACAGCATCAGGCCGGCTGAATGGAGAGCTCAGCCCCTGACCTCACCCTCCTTGGCGCTTCGGCCCGCACAGCCTTATAAGGAAGTGCCCCAAACAAACCAAGGAAGCCACCTCCGGCCCCCCACCCGGCCCCCTCCCCGCTTAGAGGCTATATTTATCCACAGGGGCCCAGAATAACCTCCCACTTGTCCTCATGCTGGGGGGGATGCGGTGAGGATGAGACAGGGTGCTGCCTCCTCACTGTCCCCTCTGGGGACTCCACCCTCCCATGTTCCCTGTGGTCTGACCTCACCGCAGTTGTTCATTTGTTCATTCGTTCGTTCGTTCATTCATTCATTCAATATACATGGTTCATTCATTCATTCATTCAATACATGGTTGAAGGAACCTAAACACCTCAGGCCCAGGCTCTGTGCTGCAAAGTCTGTGCTTCCCTGCAGATTTCTGAAATGACATGGTCTTCTGAGGTACCATGGTCCCCTGGTCCCCCTACTCTCTAGCCTCTCCTTCTTCAGCTCCTGCCCAAGAGTCTCTTTGTCGAGATTTCCCTGGCAGCTCTGTCCTGGCCTCTCTCTGGGTGATGTCTAGGCCACTGACCCTCCAATTCTTGTCTCCAAACTGGTTCTCTCTCCTGAGCTCCATGCATCCACCCTCCCCTAGGAGAGTCACAGCTTCCTGCTGGATTCTCCAGCTCACCAGACAGGACCACCCTCTCCCAGCGACCCAGGCTAAGCACCTGGGAACCTCTGCTGCCATCTGCCCTGCTCCAGCACCAGTCCTGAAATTCTGCTTCCCTTACCTCTCTTCTCTCCTTCCCCCACAGTCATCACCCTCTGCTGGGACCTCTGCAGTAGCCTCCCTGAAGCTCCCTGCCTACTCTGATCCATTCTCACCCAGCAGCCAGGTTTTGTTTCAAATGCAAACTTGGTCATAGCACCCCCGTACTTAAAATCCTTCAGGGGCTCCTCATTTCTCTTAGGAAGAAGTCCTTATTTCCTGGCTGCCTGGCAAGGCCCCAGCCCCCTGACTCCTAACTATCTCTTTAGTCTTGTGAACCCTCTTCTCCCTCGTTCTCTACTTTCTGGCCACACAAGGCTTTCTGCTCCTCAAATACCCAAGCTCACTCTTCTTGTCTCCGTATTTTGCACTGCTGTTCCCTCTGACTAAGATCCTTTTCCTTCCCCTCCTTCCTCCTCCTCCTCCCTTCACTGGCCAGCTCCTGCACCAGTGCTCAGGGCAGTCTTCTCCAACTGCCCCCTCCCCTACTCTCCCAGCCCAGATCAGATGAGATTGCTGCTCTGTGCTCCCATAAACCCCTGCACTTTTGTTCTCAAATATGACTTCCACTCAGAAGACTTGGTCGATTAGAGGAGAAAGCTCCCTGAGCAGGGAATCCTGATGCCCAGGGCCTGTATAGTACATGGCACATAGTAGATGCTCAATAAATATTTGTTGCAAAATAACATTCTCTCATATTATCGCCATCAGGAATGTCCCTGACATTATCCAACCATCATTTCTCTTGCTGCATAAGCAGACTACCACTTTCAAAGGGAACAAGGCCCCCACTACATACCTTTAGGAAAGTCCTCACTTATGTCTAACCCATATCCTCCCCCATTAGGGATTCTTAGCAGAAATGGCTGGTTTGGGTAACTATAGGGAACCAGGGACTCTGATGTGTGGGGCAGGATGGGCACACGGGCATAGGGAAGACTGCTTAGCTTGGTCTCTGTCCTTGGTCCCTTGCCTGGTGGGGGGTGCCTGAGTGCCTGGGAAGGTCAAGCACAGGGCTCCTCTGTCCATTTATAGGGCAGAGAATGGGCCTTACTTGTCTGGATGCCAGTGTGCTGGCTGCAAGGCCTGGCAACCTGGCAGGATCAGACAAAGCCTTGTTAGCATGTCCAGAAAGGAGAGTGGATCAGGCTGCCAGAAAGGTGGGGATGGATAAGATCCTGGACCCCAAGGGCAGGGATGTATGTGAAATGGGGGCCTGGCTGCCAAAGACAGACACTCCTAGATGGAGAAGGAGAAAGGCGTGAGAGGAGAGGCAGACATTGAGGTTTTGTCAGGTGGCCTTCTGTCCCCTTCCTTGGCCAGAGGGCATCAGTGGGGACCAGGGGGACCGGGACTGCATCCTTTCATCCTCCCTTGCCTTCAGCCTTGGGCCCAAGGAGAGGAAGAGCTACCCCCAGACGTGGGATCATCTCCAAATGTGGAACATTTGTTTGGTAGCCCCTACCCTGGGATATTTAGAGGTTTCGCCAGACCTTCCGGCCCGCTGAGTTGGGCTGGGGAGTGCTTTCTATTTGGATACCCTGACTTCAAGGCCTTCAGACCTGGCCTAATCCAGGACCCTCTGGGCTCTCCCTGCCCCACCCAGGGAACCAAAGAACTCCCTGGAAGGTAGGGGAGAGGTTGTGGCTAGGTGGACCCCCAGCCACCCCACGGTCAGCGCAGTACAGAGAGCACCCCCGCCAGCTCTCTTGCGCACCTGACACCTTCAGTTCCTCTGTCTCTTCATCTCCATGTGACCTTCTGCTCTGCCTCCTGCTTCAGTGTGGGAGGAAAGCCCTGCTGAAGACTAAGCTGAGCCCTGCAGCTTGCCCTAGCCTGCTTTTCCTGCCCCCGGAGGCCCCCATGTCACCCAGCCCAGCGCCCCTCATTGTGTGGCTGAGAGTGAGGCTCTGAGAGGCTAAATGCTGACCTGAGGCCACAAGGCCAAAGACAGAACAGACCTCCCCTGTCTCACCCTGCTGACCCAGCCAGTCAGAGCAGACAGCACGGGCCGGACAACTGTTTGGATTGGAGACAAGGGGGCTTATTATGCTGGCGGCACTGAGGGGCTGGCAGGGAATACATGCCAGGGTGGGGGTGGCCCCAGGCCTAATCCCTATAATGAGCTCTGTGGGCAGAGGTGATGATTGGCTTGGCTTCTGCAGGCACTGTGGCCACCTGGACCGGCCCCCGGCCCAGCAGCACCCTAGCCCTCCCCGGGCCCCTGGCACCGCTGCCTGCTGTCTTGGTTTGTCTGCCTTGTCTCCCCCAGAGGCCCCCCAGGTCCTCCTCTCCTCAGAACTCAGCCCCTCCCCAGCACTAGCATCTCCTGCTCCCCAGTCTGCTCGGCAACTCTGCAGGCCTGAGGATCCCCTCTGCACGGGGGAAGGAAGAGTCCAGACTCTGTAGGCAGAGGCATTCCTTTATTCAGGCAGGGATAAACCAGATGGGACCAGAATGGCAGGAAAATGGGGGCTGGGACATAGGAGCAGCCCCTCACCCTCATGGGGTGGCCAGACATCCCGTGAGGATGCAGTGAGGTGGGGGAGGGCTGCAGCCCCCTCTCCCTCAGAGGAGCTACTGGGCTCCACGCCTTTCCCAGCTGACAGGTTGGGGAGGAGAGGGTGCAAGGAATGGGGCCTAGTCCTACAAGGACCCAGCTGGCTGAAGCCTCATGGGCAGTGTGGGCAGAATGTCCCCTTTGCAGGGTCCAATGGATGGGCATTTATTCCTGGAGCCCCACTCTTGCCCCCATTTCACCTTGGCCAGCCAGACCTCCTGGACAGAAACCACAGGAAGAGAGATACTAAGCTAAGGGTGCCGCCCCTGGGGGGACCATGGGGCTTGGTGACACCGCCCCCCACAAGTCCGCAGTGAGGGAGGAGGAGCTCTTTCCCTAGTCTTCCCCTGAGGTCCAGGAATCTCCCTCTCCTTCCCTCGGAGTGAACTTCAGGAACTGGCTCGGGCCCAGGTGGACAGCCCCTGCCCAAGGGGTCTTCAGGGCTCCTCCCTCCTCCTCCTCCAGGGGGCTCCCTCGGTCCCCCTCGGGGGCCCCCAGTTCCCCTTGCCCTCCTCCCTCAGTCTGCTCCAGCCCGTTTACCACCCCCCCATTCACGTGCTCCAGCTCCTCCTTCAAGCTGGGACCCTGGCCATTGACATCAGGTGTGTCCCCTACCCCCAGGCCCGTGTCCTCCACCCCACTGGGGGTGTCCAGAGGGCCAGGGACTCGGTCCTCCCTCTCCGAGGGAGCGGGGTCAGGCTCCCCCTCTGATCCGGAGGACTCAGTGCTGTGCCGGGCCTCGGTCTCCAGGGCGGTCAGGGGGGCGTGGGCCACTGTGCCCCTCAAGCTGTCATCCCAAGGGACACTGACAGGCACCGTCTCAGACTCTGGGAGGGTCTCTGTCTGAGGGCCACTCGGGGCTGGGAAGCTGCCAGCGGAGGACCCCGGGCCCCACCGCCCAACTCCGGGCGCCCTCTCCTCTTCCTCCCCACTCTCCTCCTCATCTGCAAATCCGTCAGACTCCCCGTCCTGCTCCCAGGCTGTGGGCTCCACCACCTCCCTGGGGACCCTGGGAAGGAGAGACGCCTCGGTGCCCAGGTCCTCAAATTCCTCCGACAGGTCGGAGTCCTGGCCCCGCTCATCTCCATCCTCCTCCTCCTCCGAGAGCTGGGACCCAGGGCCCTCAGGGGCCAGGACGGCGGGACCCCAGCCTTCCCTCCCGGCATCCCCTTGAGGGGGAGGCCTCTGCTCCGCAGCCAGGCCCCAGCTGGGAGAGGCAGGGGACCTGAGGTAGAGGCCCAGGGGAGTGGAGTCGGGGAGAGTCTCCCCAAGCTCATCGGCCTCACTCTCTTCTCTGCTCTCCTCACCCTCGTCCTGGAGGCCCTCGGGGACCTCCCCAGAACTCAGCTCCTCTTGTTCGCCCTCTACCCTTCCCAGGGCCTCAGCCGAGCCCTGCAGCCCCCAGCTAGCCTCCTGGCACCCCTCAGCCAGGTGCCCAGGGGCATCTCCAGGGATTGGGGTGGGCAACCAGGGCTCAGGGGACCCCGGCACTAGTCTTGCATCCTCCGCTGCTTCCTCTGGCACCAGGGGCCTGGGTTGAGGGATATCACGTCCATCATGGCTCAAGGTGGGGAACCCGTCTGCCTCCCAGGGGGCCTCAGGCGCTGGCACCTCCCAGTGCTGAGCTGGCTCCCCGGGGTCTCTGCTCCCACTGGGTGGAGTGGAGAGCTCTGGCCCCAGAGCAGCTGCCTCCTCCAGCTCCTTCCTGGGCTCCCCCAAGCTCTGCACCCTCTTTGTCTCCAGACCTTCCTGCCCCGGGGGCGGCTCCATCGCCTCCTCTGTGGCCACATGGCCTGGATCCTCTAGCCCTGCCGCCTCCTGTGTGGTCCCCTGCTCGGTTCCGGTTCCCTGCTCTGTGCCCGCAGTAGACTCACCCACATCTGTCTCTAATCCCAGTGTGGCCTCTGAGGAGACTTGGGTACCCCCTGGGGCCTCATCCTCACCTTCTAACATCCGCTGTATCACTTCTGATGTTCCCTGGGGAGCCGGGAGGCCTGGGGCCCCCACATGCTCTGGCTGCCCTTCAGGGCCCTGGAGGCCCTCAGTGCCTCCTTCCCTACTGGTTCCCTCAAGTGGGACCCCCTGCTCTTTGGGCTCAGGGCTCCCTGGGTGCCCCTCAGCTGTGCTCCAGGCCTCCCCGGTGCCTGTCACCCGCAGCTCTCCCTGCTCTACAGACTTCTCCTTCCCCGTGAAGCCATCCTGGTCCCTCAGGTCCAGCCCTGCCTCATCCTCACTCTCTACTCCAGCCCTCCCAGGGGGCATTTCCTCATCCAGTTCTTGGTGCCCCACCGCATCCTCCTGCCTTCGCATGTTTGCAGACAATGGCCACCCCTGTCCTTCCTCTTCTAGGGACCCCAGCAACTCTTGCTTCTCTCCCTCCTCCAGGTTCTCTTCCTCTTCCAGGTACCTTTGATTTTCCTTGTCTCCCTCTTCTGTAGATCTCAAATTCTCTAGATTCCACTCTCCCAGAGATCTCAGTGCTTCTTGATTCTGCTTTTCTAGAGCGTTCACTGTCCCCTGATTCATATCTTCCAGAGGCCACAGAGGCTCTTGCATTTCTAGAGATTTCAGTATTTCCAGGTCTTCTCCTGCAGACTTTAGTGGTTCTAGATTTTCTGTTTCTGAAGATCTCACTACCTCTACATTCTCTTCTTTTAGAGACCTTAAGTCTTGATTCTCTTTTTCAAGAGGTCTAAATACCTCCTGGTCTTTTTCAAGAGACATTAGTGTCTCTGGTTTCACCTTTTCTAGAGGTCCCAGTGTCATCTGGTCTCCTAGAGATCTCAGTGGCTGTTGAGTCTCTTTTTCTAGAGGCCTTAATGTCTCCTGAACCTCTTCTAGATACCTCAATGGCTCCTGGACCTCTTTTTCTAGAGGTCCTATTGCCTCCTCGCCCTCTTCTTCTAGAGACCTCAGGGAGTCCTGGTTCTCTTTTTCTAGAGGGCTCAGGGTCTCATGATTCTCATCTCCTGAAGACATTAGGGACTCCTTGTTTTCTTTTCCTAGAGACCTCAATGTCTCCTGGTCCTCTTCTAGAGGCCTCAGTGGCTCCTGAACCTCTTGTTCTAGAGGCTTCAAGGTCTCATGATTCTCATCTTTTGGAGACCGTAAGGACTCCTGCTTCTCTTTTTCTGGAAGTCTCAAGGTCTCTTGATTCTTATCTTCTAGAGACCACAATGGCTCTTGATTCTCCTTTTCCAGATTTTTCAATGACTCAAAGCTCTCTTCTTCTAGAGACTTCACTAATTCTTGACTTTCCTTTCCTGGACATAAAAATGTCTCTAGACTACCTTCAAGAGACGTCATTAGTTTTTGAGTCTCCTTTTCTAGACTTTCTGGTGTTCCTAAGTTCTTTTCTTCTAAAGATTTCAGAGATTCTTGAGTTTCCTTCTCTAGAGATCTCAGTGACTCGTGGCTCTGTTTTTCCAGAGACACCAGTGGTTCTTGAATTTCCTCTTCTACAGACTTCAGAGTTTCTTTTTCCAAAGGACCTTGAGTGTTCTGAACTTCATTCATATCCGGAGCCCCCTCTTTTTGTTCTGTTTCCTGCTGCAAACTGTTCACCATTTTGACCTCTATGAATGTTTCTTTTTCTGCTAGCCCCCAGATTTGCCCTTCACCTTCCTCCTGGAATCTGCTGGACCCTCTAGACCCACTAGGTTCTCCATCTCTGGCTTCTAAACTGGGATGGTCAAGGCTGAGAGGTGGGGCCAAGGAGGCATGATCTTCAGGGGACTGTCCTGTGCTGACCTCTTGCTGCTTGCCCCCAGGCTCCTCTGGTTCTGGAAGGACCCTGGCAGGGATGGCCACCTTGGCTTCAGCCCACGTGGCCTCTGGAGCCTGTTGCCTCCCAGCCTGTGGCTGGAGCAGGGAGAGAGGGTCATTCTGAGCTCTGATTTCTGCATCTGTATTGGGGCAGGGAGCCTGAAGTGTGGGTAGGATAGGGGTGCTGGCCAAGGTGGGAGTACGGGCCTGGAGGAATTCCTGGCTTTTCAGAAAGGCAGGCACAGGTGTCTCGAGGCTATCAGGCAAGGGTGAGGAGAGGGGAGTAGGGCTCATGACAGAGAGCAAAGGTCCCAGATGCCGGCCCTCTGGGATCCCAGGGAAATTCAGCTCCAGCTTAGGGTCTGAAAAGGCATAGGGGAAGAAACAGTGTCAGTATGTACTGGCTGGCAGGGGACAGGCACAGAGCAACTACTACTTCTGGCCAAAGTGCCTATGGGCCCTTCCCTGCCCTCCCCCTGGCCTGGCTGAGAGCACGCTCACTGCTAGGGGCCAAGGAGTCAAGATTTAGACTGATGCCTCTCAGGAAAGGAATTGCTCTGGGGTATGAAGAGCAAAGGAGAGAGTTTGGGGGTGGGGGGGTACCTGGCCCCTCCTCTTACCCTGGAAGCTGAGGGGAGCCTTGGAACCGCTGCCAGCTGTCTGCAGCCGGGAGTTCTCAGCCTCCAGGAGGGTCCTGGAGAGAAGGGAGGAAAGCTGGGTCAGGCCTCTGCCACAGGCCCTTACGTAGGCAAACCGACCTGGGAAAACCTGGAGCTGAGCCTGCGTGTCCCTGACACTGCAGGCTCCCTCTTCATTCTCACCACTATCACACAAAAGCCACGCACAGGGTTCTGCTTGGCTGTGCACATGACGTCACATGGTCACATGCCCACAGATATCACACACTTGGTCACACAACATCACACACTTATTTGGGACACACAGCTGGACTCACAGACACACAAGCAGATTCCCACACAGTCGACACAGTGTACACACACCCGCATATAGCTTAGAGAGTCTCCTCCCCACCCCAGGCCCATGACCTCATCTTTCGTGTGGGGGGCCGATTCTCATGCTAATTGCTGCCATTGTCCGGGGCCATCTGGAGGGTCTGAGTAGGGGGCTTCCCAGGGGAAGTGGGAATTCTCAGGCTGTTCCCATGGGATAGGCTCCCCCCCCTCCTCCTCCCCCAAGGCCCCCCAGAGCTGGTGGCAGACAAAAGCAAGTGAATTCAGCTCTCTCCAAATCCTTTTCATGCCTCTAAAACGGGCGATGGCCCAGACCCTTTCCCTCAGTGGTTTGATTGGGGGTCAAGGCCCCCTCATCCTGGGACTTGTGTACTCTGGATCCCAAGCCTTTCAGGGCAATGCAGGTCTTTGTGACCATGCTCCTGCCTCAGTGCCTCATGAGGACATAGGCAAGGTGGAGAGAACCACTCAGGGGAGGGGGCCAATCAATTCAACAAGTTACGCTGATGCATATGCTCTCTGCTCTTCATGACCTGAGCCTGGTTGGTGTTTTCTGTCCCAGCTCTGTCCTCCCCGGTGCAGCACTGTGCCCCGGGAGCTCTGCTGTCTTCCTTGCACCTACATCCCCAACGGCCTTCTCTCTCTGGGCCCTGCCTACACTCTTCTCCCCTCCTGCACCTGTCCCAGGAACCCTGCCTTGCTTTGCCTGGGGCTTCTGGGGGGCACTGTTCTCATACTTATCCAGCCTGGTCCCCACCCTGTGGGCTAGGGGTACGCAAAGCCTCTCCTTCCTCAGGCTCTATCGCTGGATCCTCAGCCAACCAGGCCAGTTTCCCAGAAGAGACCGCGGGTTTGCCCAAGGCCACAAAGCCAGAAAGTAGCACTTTCTCAGCCTCAGCATTTCCTGAGCCAACAGGAAATGTGGTCAGTAGAAGGGCTGGGCAGAGCCAAGGGCACTGGGGTTTGAGGGGAGTCAGGCCCATGACATTCAGGATGGAAGGGGCCTTGAACAGCACCCAGACCATCTCCCATCCCCCAGACGAGGAAACCGAGGCCCAGGTCAGGTGGCAAGTCAGGGCCACCACCCCACACGTGCAACTCCTCCTCCCTGAGGCTGTCCAAGGACATCACCCGCCCGGTGGGAATCCACACCCGCCCGGTGGGAATCCACCCCCGCCCGGTGGGAATCCACCCACACGAAGAGTGGGCTTTTCAGCCTCTTGGGGAAAGTCTGGGGGCAGACGCCCCACATGGGTCCAGCCCTCTCCTCTGAGGCCATCTTAGCCAGCAACATCACCTCTCTTTGGGGGATTTCCCAGGTGCAGGACACTTCCCTGGTCCTGAGCCCCTGGGGGAGCTGTGGGCTCAGGTGGGACACATCCTAGTGAGGAAGGGATCAGCCTAGAATCACAGAACCTAGGGGTGGTAGAGCAGCCACCCCCCGTGGCTCTGAGCCCCTCCAGCCGAGGAGTGTGCAGCTGTGTGCCTGGGTGAGTGGGGGTCCGTCCTTACCTGTATGTGGCCACCTCTAGACTGAGGGACATCTTGAGGTGTGCCAGCTGCTGCCGACCTTCCAGGACCTGGGCAATCTGGCTCTGTAGGCCCTGTTTCTCCTGCTCCAAGGCCTCCACAGCCAGCTGCAGAGCAAGCCAGAGGGGTCAGTGAAGGGGTGGGTCCTTCCTACCAACCAACTTGCCTCCCCCTCGGCTGCTGTAGGGGCATCTTCTGCTACCTGACTGACTTTGCTGAGGGGCAGATTCCTGCCACCCCTAACCCACTCCCTTGCCAGAGAACTGCCTCTGAAGCCCCCTCAGTGAGCACAGGGGCCCCTCTCAGCCCTCTCCCACAGCCTGGCTCCTCCTCTGAGGATGCCGATTAAATGGTAGCACATGTTGCTCAAATTCAGCTCCCCCTGGAAGGGGGAGGTGAGGGAGGAGAGGAGATGGGTTACAGAGGAGGGAAAAAAGTGGAAACAGAAGGAAAAACGATTAATCAAGAGGCTTGGAGCCTGCAGGACTGGAAGCCAAACAGCCTTGGTCCCAATCACTGTCTCCCACTCCTCGCACCAGGCCCCCACCGCCTCCACTTCCCACATGTTCTGGAATCTTTGTCCTCCCAGAGGAGGGGTGGGGAGGGGGCGGCCATGGTGAGGTCTCTGTCTGGCCCAGGCAGGAGGCTGTTTTCTCAGCTGCTGGTCACATCTGTGCAGTGTGGGGGGAGCAGCTGTCCCAGGCCTCTGGAATGTGCTCGGGGAGCAGAGAAGCCAGGGCATGGAAGAGGCCTGGTGGCCACTCATCCAGGGCCCCTCACCAGCTCCTGCCACGGGGGGAGGACAATCAAGAATTTGGAGATTCTGAATGGCCAGAGCATCAGATCAGCACTGAGGGGGAAAGTCCTGGGCATCTCCTCAGTGACAGCAGAGCACAGGGAGAGGCCTAGGGGCCGTGAGGGTGGGAAGGGGCCATCCCGTCGGGACAGGGAGGAGGCTGTCCCACTGGCCTTGGACCTGTCTGCCCTTCCAGGGGGTGTGTTTTGAGAGGGCTCTGAACCCCCATCATGCCCACCTTACTCCACAGGAGTTGTGAAGTCTAGCCTAGAGCCTCCAGCACCAGGTACGGGTTTTCTAAGAAGTGGGCTTTGATGGGCAGCCACCTCCAAGCCCTACTTCCCACTCCCTCCCCAGAAGGTCTCTGAACCACCCCCCAGGGACTTCCTGAAGCCCTATCTAGCCCAAGTCTCCCACCCCCACCACCTCACCTGGAACTTGTCAGTAGCCCTCAGCCGCTCCTGCCAGCGACCCTCTAACCTCTGCTCCAGCGCTGCCCTGCGCTCCTGGAGGCCACCGCGCTCCGCCTGGAGCTGCTGCAGCTCCAGGCGACCCTCACGGGCGCCCTGCACCGCGCGACCCAGCCGCTCGAGGGCCTGGCCCAGCGACGTCTCCATGTGCGCCACGCGCTCCTGGTAGCCCAACACGGCCCCGCGCCACGCCTGGCTCAGCCGCCGCGCCAGGTCTTCCACCTCGGGGGCCGGCGCGGGGCCCCCGCGGGGCGCGGCGGGGCCGCGGGGGACGCAGGCCGCCTGCGCGTTCAGCCCGGCGCGCTCCTCCTCGTGCGCGGCGCGCAGGGCCTCCAGCTCGCGCTCCAGCTCCGCCGCCTGGGTGGTCAGCCAGGCCTGGGCGCACTTCTCCGCCTCGACCGCGCGTCGGTGGCGGGCCACCTCCTCCGCCGTCCGCTCCCGGGCCAGCCTCTGACGCTGGTATCGGCCCGCCACGCCCTCCACCTCTTCTACCAGGTTGTCTCGCGCCACCTCGGCCGCGTGCTTCTCCCGCCAGCGCTGGTCGACGAGGGCCCGCAGGGCCGCCAGTTCGTCGTCTGCACGGGCCCGCCAGGAGGCGTCCCCAGACTGTGCCCGGAGACCCCCGAGTTCCGCGCTGAGCAGCTCATTCTGCTCTTCTAGCGCCTTGACTCTGGCCAGGTAGGCCTCCAGGCGCCGGTTGAGCTCCCACATCTGAAAAGATTCCTCCCCCAGGCAGCCCTCCATCCTGCTCATCTGAACCACCGACGGTGGAGAGACTCAGGGCACCTGGAGAAGCCAGTGGCTCTTAGAGCTTTTAGGACAAAAGGGAAAAAGAGACGGAGGGGACAGTGAACGGGCGGAGCCTGGAGCTGCCGGAGCTACTGAGAGTCGGGAGTGGGAGCTGGGAGCTCCGCTATTCATACTCCCGCCAGCGAGGCGGGAAAAGGGGCGGGACCCCAGGCCTTAACTCCTTAGAGTTCAGAGCAGCAGCGGCAGCCTCTGCCCTTGAGGCCCTGGTGTGCTGGAGAGTGAGGCTAAGGATAAGCCAGTCTGATGATGATGGTGTCTTTCTGCGGGAGGAGGCCAAGAACGGTCATAACCCCAGATAAACGCAGATTATGCACAGAACTGAACCTGTGGAGGGGATGCCAGGGGGCTCTGGGCTGATTCCAGTCTCAGTTACTGAGCACCCCATACAGTTATCACTTACTGAATTCCTCTAAGACTCAGTTTCTTCGTCTCTAAGATGGGAACAATGATGGAAATCTCAGCGGACAGCCGAAAAGATAGATGTGGTCACGTTTTTCATAAATAACAAGTGCTCACCTCCTAAAATACTGGAACAAAGCAGCATTGCTGAGAGAGGATAGAGAGACACTGTCTGGAAAACTGGAAGAATGTCCCTTTGGGAGACATGATACATGCACACACATCCTTTTACTTGTTTCCAGCAGGAAATGGAGAGGTCAGGTGAGAAGGTGTTTTCTCTCTTCTATTCACCTCCATCCTTCCTACCTCTCTTCCACGTAACCTGAGGTTCAGGTACCCAGGTTTAGGTAGTCAAACGTCCTCTCTCCGTTGTCAGGGAAGGGCTCCCCATCCTGGCCTCATAGTCAGGGATTTTTTGAGCAGAGGGCGCCCTCTGTCGGCATAAAGACGAGGCCAAGACACGTAAGCAGAAAGAAAAGGCAGTTCTTTCCATTATCATAAGCTCACATTGTAATGTGCCAAATTATATTCTAACATTTTACTTATATTATCTGACAGAATTCTCAAAACACCCGTTTGAGGGGTCTACATTTCTGGAAGCAGAGAGCTCACTGAGGGTGAAAGTAGTCGGGAGGGATTTCTGGAGAAGGGAAGGTCTTTGTTCAGGGGAGTGGGGGACCGTAGGACCCTAGAGTAAGGGGAAGCAGAGCCAGAAGGGGAGACTCAGCCTTAACGAGACCAAGGGAATCTTTGGGGAAGGAACTTCTGCTCATGTAAGTCCAATTTAGTGTTATGAAGTGTACATTGAACACCTACTATGTGATCAGCCCTCTGTCCCAACCCTGGAGTAGCACATAGTTCAGTGATGTCAGGGCAACAGCAATGAACACTGAGTCTCGTGGTGAAGACAAACGTAATAAGATTATTACAATAGTTAGCTCCCAAGGCATCCACAGAGAGTTGGGGTGCACAGAGAACATAGGGGAGCTTCTGGGTAGGAAGTACAGCATAGTCAATGACCAGGAGGCCACCCCACCAATACCTCTGCCACCCGGCCTTTGGAATTCACTACATCTATGCGGAACAGAGACCAGGGGAAGGCCAGTGGGTGCGGAATGGAGGGACTGACTGAGAGTTAGTTCAGACCGGGAGCCCAAGCCTTCTCCATCCTCACATCACCTCACAATCCTGCTGTTGGGTTTGGGCGGAGGGCTCCCGAGAGTTGTGTTCAGGAGAGCTGGATGTGGGGCCTCTCCCTCCTGTGGGGAGAAAGATACTGAATATTTGAGATCCCTGGGATCCTTGAGGGGGGACCCCTGCTGGCATTGGGGTGGAGAGCTTCTCTCCTTGGCCCCTCAATTTTACCCAGAGGGGACACATTGGGCACCATGTCTCATGCAAAGAGCACTGGGTCTGACTTTTACACTTTCTAGCTGAATGGCCTTGGACAAATCATGTAACTTCTCTAAGTAAGCCTCAGTTTACCTGTTTGGTAAAAGAGGTTAATACTTACCCATCCCTGTAAGTTTATTCTGAGGATCAAACAAGACTACAAACACTTTTTGAAGACCATTACCATGAAAGCTATTGAGCTGGAGCAAACTCTCCTCCCATGAACTACTCTCAGTGAGTTTTAGGGGTAATGGGGAACAGAGATGGCCTAGAATGCTGGAAAAGAGTATGATGTTGATTTCTCAAAAGCAGGAGGTGAGTTTCAGCAACCACAGCCCGGCAGAGCCACAGCAATGTTCAGAAGAGTCTAAAAAGACAACATCTGAAGCAATGAGAAATGAGGGAAATGAGGCCCTTCCTGGGGACCAGCAGGCACTCAGTGGGCATGAGGCTGTCCAACTGGCCTCCTCTCCTCCTCCAGCAGTTGCTCTGGATTACTGGGATTTTTGTGAGGTCCCTGGCTGCACACCTTCTGTTCCTGGGCCCAGGACACATGGGCTACGTGATACTACAGTGGACACAAAGTTCAGTAGCCATCCCCAGAGATGTCCATGAGGAGGGCCCCGTGGGCTGCCCTGGTTCTGTCCGTGGTCCTGACTATTACAAGTTTGTACTAAAGACTTGGATGAAAACATAGAAGCCATATTTATCAAATCTACAGATTATGCAAGAACTAAGATTTTAGATTTTGACAAAATAGGAAAAAAAGTTGAACCAGATGACATTTCACAGGGATAAATGTGAAATTCTGCTTTTGGTTCATATATATATATATATATATATAATCTCAACAGCATAAGAAGGTAAGAGTAAAGAGTAGAATATACCCAGTGAAGAGAGCAGAGAGCCTGCGGGTTTTAGCAGACCACAGCTTGTTATGAACCACCACTGTGAACTGGCTACCTGCAAAAGTACAAAGGGTATAAATGATCAATAGATGCAAGGTGTCCAGATCAAAAGTGGCAACATTCCCATTGTCCTCCACACCTGAAGTGTTACCTGGACACTATTCCAAGAGGGACCTTGATCAGTTGGGATTGACCCCAGAGGAAGATGAGCGGATAGTAAGGAAGTTGGAATAATGTTTGATGACGACGTTCAGAACATACTTATGTCTCAGGATTGCAGGTAAGCTCTGACACTAAAACTATAGCCCCTGAGTACCACATACCTCCTAAGGAAATGGCTGGACCCTCCCAGAAGCCTTACCCTTGCCCGGTCTACCTGAGAGAAAGCAGGCAGAGTGTGAAGAGGTTGCATGCAGCCCCACGGGCGTGCAGTGTGGCCAGCCCTGCAGGGCAGGCTGTGGCTTCCCCTCCTCTGCCCAGAGGGGAAGGGTGGTGCCCACAAAAGCAGTGGGTGTGGACTTCCAAGGGAATGCCTTCTCGAGTTTGGGGGTCTGCCTGAAGGGCGTACTGGTGTCCCACTCCTGGCAGCTGCCTCTCAGGGCAGGAGGCTTGCTCATCTGCTCTGTGGGCATCACTGAGTAAGGGAAACACACCCTGGAGAGGGATGGCTGGAAACAGAGGGGCCACGGGGAGGGACAGGTGAGGCTGTGTTTGCCAGGAGGACTCTGGGAAAGGAGCCCCATGGGGCAGCAAGCCCTGGGCATCTCCAGCCCCAACGGAGGTCCGCATCTGGAGGAGGCTGATTACAGCACTGGATGAGTGGCACTCACCCCTCTTTCCTGCTCCTTCCCACAAAGGAGAAGGAAGCTCAGAGGAGGTCTGCCAGACGGCATTAAGGAACAGGAGAGGGAGATACAGCAGAATGTTCTTGTAGGCAGTGGTCAGAGAGCCTAAAGCTGTTTCACTGTTGTTACCTCCCGTCTCCCACCTCTTTGCCTCAAAAATGCAGAGACTAGGGCAGGGGTCAGGAAGTCACTTTTGGTCCCCATTTCTAGCCTAGCCCCTCATTTTTATCTCCCTGCCCTCCCTTTCTGTGCCTTTCCACTTCCCAGCTAGATGGGGCCTGCTGGACATGCATGGCAAGAGTTAAGGTCAGTAAGAAGTCACAAGTCCTCTAACAATAGGAAAAGATATGGGGGAGGGGAAGTGAATGGGATGGACACCAGAGGGTAGGAGCGGAAACTTCGAGACACTCTGTACAGAGATCTGGCGATGAGGAGGTGATCAGCAGAGCAGAGGGAGGGCCTGGGACCCCTCCTGAGAAGCCTGGCTTTGGCCTGAGAGCTTTGGGTACTGGCTGTACCCTGCCTTCCCCTCCTGCCTTCCCTGTCCACACGAGGGCGTCTTGGAGCTGGAGCTGGTGCTGAGAGACAGCATGTTCCTCTTCATTTTCTCCTTTCCCAGCTGGAGGGGTGATGGGGCCCGTCTTGCTCTCTTCTTTCCCTCATGTCCGCAGCAGGGCAGGTGGCCTCCCCATGCCCCATCCTGGGTCAAGGGGTTGAGGGAAGGCAAGGGGGTAGGAAAAGCATTGAACAAAGAGCCCATCTCTCTGTGCAACCTTGGACTAGTCAGGTCACCTCTCTGGGTCTTGGTTTATTAGAATAAACCATATTAAGCATCTATTGAATGCCAGGTACACTATAGGTACAATATAAATGTTTTGAAGGAATAATAATGACTAGTATGCAGCTCCTTCCCCAGGGAGCCTATGGGCATGTTGGAGGACAGACCTGAGAGCCATCGAGTGTTACCTGGGTGGAGAGGTGTGACAAGGTGGCCAACGGAGGCAGCAGGATGGTGGTGGCTGGCCTCCACCTCCAGGAACCAAAGAGCTATGGAAAGGTCACCTAACCAAAGGGCAACCTGGTCAGAACTGCATCTTAGAAAAATCGCTGTGGAGGTGGGGTTGCCAGGAGACAGACAGGAAGGGCAGATGGGGCAGGTACCACCAAGGTTTGAGGCAATAAGCCTCAAACCTAGGAGTAGAGAGGAGAGAAGAGATGTGAGACTAGTTAGGATGCATCAGTTCCAGGAAGATGTGGGGATGAGGGGGGGATGGGGGAACTCCCATATATGTGGCTTGCTCTAGGGATGGAAGTGATTGTGGCATGAGAGGTGTCACAGAGGCCGGATGCACAGGGTGGGGTTCAGTTCAGGATGGTGCACCAGTGGAGCTGGTAAAGGGGGGATGAGCCCTGTCAGGGAGAAGGGGAAGAGGCACAGAACGACTT